TAAATTCTGGCTCTGCCATTTATCAGCTGTGTGGCTCGGTTAATTTTCCTCTTAGTTTTCTCATCTTGAAAGTAGGGATAATAATGGTACCTACCTCATGGTGGTTTGAAGGTTAAATGAATTCTAATAAGTAAGATCCCTAGAACATTCCTGGCATGGCAAGAACTCAGTCAGTGCTGTTGTTCTTACTCACCTATGATGGGATGTGTCCTTTGCCTTTGATGTACTTAACAGTCCAGTGAGGAGAGAGACACTAAATAGTTTCAGTCATTCAATATTTCAACTACTATTGAGTACCTTCCATATGGCAGTCACTGTAGTAGGTCCTGGAAATAAAGCAGCAAATAAGCAAACATACCCTTGCTCTCGTGAAGCTTATTTTTAGTAGGTAAGACAGTTAAAATAATTTCTGTAAAATGTCAAAAGTGTTAAAATAGAGAAAATGCAAGGTGCCATGGATACATCTAGCAGGAGGACCTAACTTATTCTAGGAAGTATGGGACAGTAAGGAAAACAATCTTATGACGAATGCTCTGTGGAAGTCCTCTTTGGGGTTAGGGGTATCACCGAGTGGAAAGTTCCTGAGTCAGCTTTGGGGAGTCAGGGAAGGCTTCTCATTGGCGGAAACACACTGGAGCTGAGTCTGGTGGCAAAGATGGAGAGAAGCGGCAGTGGGGCAGGGAAAAAGTATTCCTGGCAGGTGGAATGGTTTGTCGGATGTCACGAAGGCATGTCAAAGCATTACATAGTCCTTGGATTTCAGTAGTTCTGTATTGTTGGGACAATGTGTGGGGCAAACAGGGATGGGCAATGGTACATAAGGGGAGAGCAAGAGGAGTTTAGACTCATCTGCAGATCCGAGGGAATTGCTCTACCAAACAGTTAGGACTTGATCCTGAAGGCAGTTGGGTGTTACTGAAGTGTTTCAAACAGAGAAGAAATTTTATTAATTTTATTTATTATTTTTATTATTTTTAAAAAGATTTATTTATTTGAGAGAGAGAGAGAGGGAGAGTGCAAGCCAGGGGGAGGGAAGGGCAGAGGGAGAGGGAGAGAAAATCCCCAAGCAGATGCCATGCTGAGCATGGAGTGCTCAGGATCCCAGGACCCAGAGATCATGACCTGAGCCGAAATCAAGAGTCAGCCATTTAACTGACTGAGCCACCCAGGTGCCCAGTTTTTATTTTTTTAGAGAGAGAACATGTGCGTGAGCAGGGGGTTGTGGGCACTAGGAGAGGGGGGGGGGAGAGAATGTTAAGCAGGCTCCATGCCCAGTGCAGAGCCTCATGCAGGGCTTGATCTCATGACCCTGAGATCATGACCTGAGCCCAAATCAAAAGTTGACGCTTAACTGAGCCACCGAGGAGCCCCACATTTTTATTTTTGAAGAGTATTCCTTTATCTCTATGGAAAATAGACTGGATGAGGGCAAGATCGGAGATAGGGAGATTAGCAGTTGCCCAGGCAAGAAATAATGAGAAGCTGAACCAAGGTAGCGGCAGTGGAAATGGAGAGAAAGGGTCAGATAGAAAAGATAGAAGATCAAATTGGCATGCTTTAGCTAGCAACTAAGTGGAGGGATGAGGGGAGAGGGATTAAGTGAATGCTTGGGTATATGGTAATGCCACTCGGATTATTATGGGAGAGAAGTCTGTCAACTTGGATTTCCCCTACATGGAAACATCCTGTGTTTATAATATCAAACATGAATGTCACTTCAGCAAACCTCAAAAATTCTTATATGCACTTTCCTTCAGGCGGTACAGTGACTGTATTCACTTGTGAGACAGAGCAGTTATTTGGGTTTTCAGGATTTCATAGCTAAGTAGTGAGAAGAATTCAAGTCAGATCTCCTGTCTTCTGGTCTGGTGTTCTGAGGGAGGTTAGCTGTTCTCAATTGATTGTAGGAGTTTGATAATATTTTTAAGAGCTGTAGGGAGCACCTTTCATAAACGGTTGAGTTGAGGCAAACATAGGGGATACGGTTATAACTTGTATAATAATATAAGGCTTTTGAATAAAGAAAAATCCTTCAGAAGAGAATGGCTGGCATAGTAAAAGATGCTGTTCTTGTGTTCTGTGATTAGTCTTTAGTGCCCTCTATTGACTGCTTAGTCTAAAACAATGTCGATTCTGGAAAACAATGTTCCTTGCAGTGTTATGTACCAAAACAGGAAGAATTAGAGGTATTAAAATTGCGATAAAAGGTGATAAAAACTGATGGGGACTTTAAAAAAAATCTGCATGGGGTCTCAAAGTTGGGTAGAGGTCTTAAGAAATATCGCTATAACATTTTGTTTGCTGCAACATGGGTATGCTATTGTGGGCTAGATTTTCAGAAAACGGACCCTCCTGATGACGAGTAGCCTAAATCAGGCTGGTCTTTCAGCATTTTTTATGCAGCAAAGCCTCAAGAAGAGCAGTTGCCCCAGTAGGCAGCAGCAGCTGCTCGTTTTCCATAGGGCGGCTACTACATGTGATGAGCATGAAAGGAAATGACCTTTCCTCATTAAAGTAACTTCGTTCAGCTACATGGGAAATCACACGGAAAAGTCATCACAGAAAATGAAATAGTGATTATACATAATGGGGCATCTTCAGAAGTGGATGGTTTGTCTTTTTTTTTTTTTAATGACAAAGGAGCTGCCCTTTAGTTCTCTCTTCCAGGAAAAGGGGTGGTAGATTAGACTTAGTGTTGAGAATAACTAGAATAACTAGAATAACTAGAGGTCTAAGCCTGAATAAATTTTAGTGAGCAGGCACACCTGGTATAGTTTAAGGTCTAAAGAAGACTGCACTTTGTATAAATGAATGCTCACCGTGACTTTTCTATAATAAGGGAAATCTGTTAATCGTTCTGTTTCTGGTATTGCCCGGTTAATCTTTCTTTGAGATGTTTCTAATTATCATTTCAGCTGGTTGCATTTTGAAAGCCTATTCACCTAATTGGGGTAAAAAATAGTGCTTTTTGATTTGGTGTTATATGAAACTGCAGAGATTGCTTGCATCATGCTGGTGAAATCATTTATTTGCTTTTGGTATATTTTACTGATGCAATTTTCTCTAAGAAAGCTTAGTAATTATTAATATGAAGTAATGCTAGTTGCTTTCTGTGCATTTCATGAAGGGAATATGCTATTATGTAGTTTCCCTTCCCCCCTAATAAAAAAGCCTTTCATCACAAACTGACATCCTAAATGAAGGACATAATTGTACAGCTTATTTATTAGTGTGTCAAGCTTAAAATGTAATGGTTTCATATTTCAGAATGAAAAGTGTGTTGTGATTCATGGTTGCTGGTGACAAAATAGACAGCTCTTTTACATCTGCACTGATTGCCTGCTGATACACCACTGTACTTTTTTTGTTGTTCTTTTCTCTTCCTATGCAATAGCTCCCTCTACTTGAAAATATTGGTGTAATTATAGTTTAACACTATGTACTTTATTAGTGAGTACTCATGACTATTTTTACTTTCCATACTCTTCATAAATATGAAGTGTTATACATCAGAGCATGCTAGAGATTTACCAAGAATCTCTTGACCTTGGAACAGAAAAGCAAGGTTAAGGAAAGTAAGATAAGTTATGTTTGAAGGCATTTTTCAAGGAATTAGCTGTGTAGCTTTTGTTGATTTACATATATTTGGTTAAAATTCCATATAGTACTTGAAAATGAACCTTGATGTCTGAAACACAGAGGTCTATGAAAAATGGATCAGAAAACTTCAAAAGAACCATCAGCCACTTCACACTGACAGCCTGGAACTTGGCAAATTCTCACTTTGTTAATTCCAAAGTCTTCAGATTCTAACACAAAACATGACCATCTCTCTCTCATTTGTCAGGAAGGGTTCAACAGTAGTAGAATCTCATGTTACTACACCTTCCCTTTATGGAACAGTATGTGCATAATGAAACAATAGGAACAAAATAAACAAAAACAAAGTGTTTCACCTGGGATTTGATGATTTTTTTCTCTCTCCCTTACTAAGTTTGATGTTCAGTAATTGTACCATTATTTTAATGTGGAGCAAGTGACAGAACATGGTGGTCAAGAGGAAGGACTTGGGAGCCAGACTGGTTGGGTTTGAATCCTAAGCTCTGCCACCTACCAGATGGGTAATCTTGGCAAGTTTCCTTAACTCTCTGAGCCTTAGTTACCTCATCTGTAGAAACATAGACAAGTGTTAGAGTAAAGCACTTAAAATAGAGCCTGACATATAGTACTATATATCAGTGTCCAATAAAATAAAAAATAATGGGCTATAAATTGGTTCTTATTAACCACATGTATTTATTGAATGTCAACATTATCTTTAGGGCTGCTTAATAAAAAGAAAAATGGGGCCCTCCCACTGGATGAGAGTTATTTACACACTGGTTTTGTTCATGAAATGACACTGGTTTTCTTGTATCAGAATAGTTCTCACCGTGGGGTCCCTATAACATGTTACAATTTATATATTATCAGTTACACCTATGTTATTTTAAAACTACTTTTTTCATGCAGTGGAATATTCCGTGGATTCCATATCTTTTTTGAACTTCCTTCATTTGGCAGGAGGATTTTATACTGGTGGAATACATAAAAAATGAAGTATCATTTACCATAGTACACTTCTCTTAGAGCCTACATATTGCCCAAGAGCAGACTTGTCTTTGGTCTGTAATATGACTGTGCTTGAGGATGTCAGAGCATCTTGCTCAACTGTCACCAGACTTCTTGTGGCCCAACAAAATACCAGTCACCAAAAGTTCAAAGAAGAAATGTGTAGGTATTGAACACTCAGACGTGTAACTGAAATTGTTAGATGATGTTTCCACCTTGATATAAGCTGATATTTGTGTGGATGTATAGAGTGATACTGTAATAGATTTTGACGTCTTTGGAAGAATATCACGAGAATGCTGGATACTTAATGTAAATAGTCAAATGAGATTCACGAGTATATGTGTTTTCGGAAACTGACTTATCTTTCTTCTTGGCTTGATCCTTAGGACCCTTTAGATCCCACAAGATCAGTGATTGTGATCCGTTCCCTGGTGGCACATGGTGTCGCAGAAAGAGGGGGAGAGCTGTTACCTGGAGACCGCCTGGTCTCAGTTAATGAATACTGTTTGGAAAACACCACACTTGCTGAAGCTGTGGAAGTGTTGAAAGCTGTGCCACCAGGCATCGTACGCCTTGGCATCTGTAAGCCTTTGGTGGTAAGTGTTCAGTTTTGTTAATATAGGGACGTGATAATAGTGTAATACTTAAGAACATGGATTTGGTTTCGAATCCCTCTTCATGGCTTACTCTGTGTACTAATTCAAGTTTCTTGTGTCCTCGACTTAAAAAATGAGAAACATAATGTCTATCTCCTAAGATTCTGGGGACTAAAGATTATATTCATAAAGTGCTTGCACATTATTGTATAAATAGGAGCTTCTAACATTGCTAGTCCTTTTACCACTTTTACTACTATTTTTATCTTCATGATATTAGCACAGATCTGTATGTTCTCATCACATTCCTTATGATGTAAATTAAAATAAGTCTATGCATTTTAACTTTCACTTGGGAATGATGTGGAAATGGCATGATAAGCTGAAATCCACTTAACTATATTGTTTTAACCATAGGCAATGAGATTTTAATACGCTTTTCTGCCCATCAAAGTGCCTCGTAACCCCTAGCATCTAGAACTCTATGTGGTCAGATCATTTTGAAGTTCTCTTACTGCTTAATCTTATGTCAGATTAGTGCTTATGACTAAGGGCCATATTACAATTAGGGTGCTTTTGAGGTTCCCCAGTGCAACAGAATATTTGACGGTAATTTGCAAGCAGTATGAAGATATTATTGAGTGCTTACTGTATGTATTTTAAAACCTTTACATGTATTAACTAACTTAAACCTCCTGGCAACTTGAAGAGGTTACAGATTACAGATGAGCCCATCAGGACACAGAGAATTGAGCAACTTATCCGCAGTGATGTAGCTAGTAAGGGCAGAGTTGGGATATAAACTCAGGTGGCTTCAGACCACAGTGCTATATATTTAACTTGTTGCAAGTTTAGTTTGCAGGCAGCCTGTCTGGAAATAGGTAGCTGGTCTTAGTAAAGTGTTAAGCTGGATTTCAAGAAACCTGGACTCCGTTTCTAGCTTTCCTATGAGTCAGACCAGTGGGTTTCAACAAAAAGATATGTACTATACATAAGGATCACCTGGGAGATGGTTAAAATGCAGTTTTGGAGGTCCTACCCTCAGAGATTCTCATCTTGTCATTGGGATGTGCTATTTAGGGATCTGCCTCTTCAGTGAATCACCCGTGTAATTCTGATGCAGAATTTCACACTTTGAGAAACATTATCTTAGTAATCTGATCATAGGTATACCACTTCCCTTCTCTGAGCCTATTTTTTCATCTCTGAAAAGACTGAACAAGACTAGAGGAGTCCTAAAGTCTTTCTTAACTCTAAGATTCTTTCATTCTATTAATATGTTATATGACTATGTTAACATACTACATGTGTCCTTATGTATAGGTAAATATAGATAAGTGTGTTCACTTACAGATATATAGGTATAGATATATAGAGATAGATCCTGTATTACACATAGTATTTATGCATTGGGGAACCTCAACATGGCCTTCATGAATTCCCCATAAAGATGCCAGTATATTATACTATCCGACACTCTAAATATTTCAAAATAGAGTATAGCACATAGCTAATCAAGTTCTTGACTTTGTATTCTATATTTGGTGTGTGGGTGTTGCCATAACCAACGTGAGACACCAGGAGATGCTGGTTTGATTTCTGGACAAATTAAGTTGTGGGGAGGAACTTGATATATATATATATTTTTTTAAGATTTTTTTATTTATTTGC